TCTAATAACTATTTATAATATCAATTAACTATTTATAATTTATTATAAACTTTATACATTTGCACTCTTAGTGCTAACATGGTAATTTACCAACTTCCTATTCATGTTTATTTATTAAGATGCACACGTAGTGCCTATACGGTAGTTCATCCACTCATGATGAATTCCGTGATTTTACACACATCGTGCATGTACGGTTATTCATCAACTCATGATGAATTCCGTGGTTTTGCACACATAGTGCATGTATGGTTATTCATCAACTCATGATGAATTCTGTGGTTTTGCACACATAGTACATGTACGGTTATTCATCCACGTAGGATGAGTTCCGTGAAATGCACCCTTAGTGCCTATTTGGTAATCACCACATACATATATGATCAGTACAACATATAGTTACACAATTAAGTGCACTCACCTGGATTGCCTCGATATGTATCCAAAACGCAAAGTTGATCACTCCGGTACTTTGCCTTTGTCTTTAGTTTTGCTTGACTCGTGAGCTTGATTTTGATCTATTCAAGCATCCAAATAACGACACTTACAATATCAATTGTTAGTATATTTCCTACCAATTATACTCAAACGTTATTCAATAGTATATATTATTAACCTTCTATAATAATTTCAACCTAAATTGGTCATTCCAAGCTCAATAGTATCGATACCGATTTTAGATTCGATATTGCCTGGTATCGATACCCTTACCATGGTATCGATACTACCTCGTCAGTATCGATACTGATTCAATCAGTATCAATACTACTTAGCTAATTCATTCCATTTTAGCCTATAGTATCGGTACTGTTCTTCGGTACCGATACCCTTGCCCAAATTTTCCAGTTTTTAACCCGATTTTTACATAAATGGGTTCAAATTTTGTTATAATCACACCATACAATACTATCAAACTCTTCTTTAACTATTCATACTAACATTCCTTCACTTTAATACTTAAAACATCTAGTACCCTTCATGATCATTGGATTCTAAGAATCACACCAAAATTTCTAACTTGTTTTTAAACTCATCCAATGCTTCTAATATCTTATTTACTACTTTGACAAGTTAATTCTACCAATAAACATCAATAAATACTCATATATTAACATATCATTTCAAAACCCAATTTAAAAAATCTCCATTATTTCCCTTATCTTATTATTTTAATCCCATCTAATCCTTCCTTAAGCATATATATCACTTAATGTTACCAAAACAACTCATAATTTAAATGAAACACTAGCTAAGGGAAATTTACCTTATGCTAGAGAGGAGGGCAGACCATCGTGAAGAAGAAGAAGAGTAAGAAAAAATGCTTTACTTTCCTCTTTCTTCCTATTTAAAATCCCTAATATATTTTTAAATTCATTTTATCTCTTATAAGACCAAAGTGCTCTCTATATTCATTCATTTATACAAATTGGTCTTAAACACTTTTCCAATCATTTCCTATCTTTTATTATTACTCAATTTAATCCTCCAAATTTTGAATCTTTTTAATGAAGTCACTGGCATAATATTTGGGGTATTACAAAGGAGCCATGGTAGGTTTTTTTTTTTGTTGTAAGTAGGGATATATATTATGTTATGTTGTATATGTGATGAAATAGAAGTGTTAAATGAATCCAAGATCTAGGGGATGGTGCTGATTTGACTTTTGCATTCAACATTACAGGAACCGAAGGGAAGCTTTCGTAGTTTGAGGTCGATCCAATAAAACAAAAAACATGCAATATAAAACCTTTTATCATCATTATAAATAAATACATAATTCTTTGGACCAAAGAACTCATCCACGCATTATTGTCGAATTTGACGTTCTTGCTTCTATTTATTAGAGCTGAATTTAATTAAGGAGCCATTTTCCAAGAAACCTACATCGTTTGTGCTCCTTTTTTTTTGTTGTCTTTTTGCCTCTAATTCTTGTCATTTCCAATTACCAAATACCAATGCAGCTTCTTCTTCTTCAAATAATTGTATCTCAATACACTTTTCTCTATAAAGACATTTATGGATTGTTCGTCTGTTTTTCTTATTTCTCTTTCGGTTCTTGTTTTTCAACGTGTTTATTGCCATTTTCAGTTTAAATAATTTAAGCTACATTAGTAACAGTTCCTCGGTAACGTAGGTTATTAATTAATCAATTAATTTTTTTTAAAAATTGTTTATTCGTTACTTTTTTTCATCTAAAATTTATTAAATAACAATCAATCTAGTTAATTTTAACATTAAATTGTAAACATTTTTTTAATTATCTAGGGTGATTACAATATAATATCTATTTAGAAATTTCTTAATCTATTGACAATGCACATATACCTTACAATGCAACTGATCGAATCTAAAATCTCTAGAGAAAATATTTTTTATACAAATGAAACCACTTTATATGTTCAATATGTAAACATTTTAAATTCACTTTCAATTCGATATCCGAATATATATATGGTTAGCATTTCAATCCGATCAGCAAGACTTTTTTTACCTCGAGTTAGTTTGAATTCAAATCAAATAATAAAATATTAAATTTAATTGTAAAGGTAAATTACACTTGTAGTCACCAAACTTTTAAGTTACCTTTATTTTACTCACTGAACTTTTAAAACTTTCATTATAGTCATTAAATTTTAAATTCGCTTTCATTACAATAATTGTCGTTGGAAAATACTGACGTGGAGTTTTCTGCTTCTAAAACCCCTAATTTTCCAAATTAACAAATATTACAAAAGTTTAGTTTTTGATGAACAAATCAATAATTAGCTAATCCCAACAGTAGAAAGGTTCTGCTTGATAATAATATTAACATAGTTGGTTTCAAGTTTATTTGATGGTTAGCAATGATGAATTGAAACGCTTTAGCCTATTAGATCACTTCCTCATTTGGTTGCCATTTTTTATCATTGTTTAGTGATTTCTCTGATAAAAAATCACCAAACTACTCTTATCCTTCTCTTTGTTTCATTTGGTTTAAACTTTTGGAAAACTTTTCAATCTCTTCAAATTCCAAGTAAATCCTAATATAAATTAAAAGTTAAAACACCTTGGTTTATCATTGTCAACTATCACATCAACTTGAAATCAATCTATATTAATCTTTTGGCCAGACAAATCATTCCCACTATTAGGATTGATTGTTAACTACTCTGTTCATCGAAAATTTGGTCATGATGACGATTACAAATTTGGAACCTTAGAATCTTTTTGAAAATAAAATTTTAATATGTCACACCAGTATTTCTCAAGGACAACTAACAACATTTACCATAATCAAAACAAATTAAAAGTTTTACAATTGTAATGCAAGTTTTAAAAGTTTGATGACCAAAGTGAAGTCGTCTTAAAAATCCAATGACCGCCAAAATGTAGTTTACCCAATTATAAATTTATTAGTATAAAAAATATTTAATATATATATATATTTGAAATATAAACAAAAATAATAATATTTCCATTTTTTAGTTTTTTTATTTTTTTAAAACTTTTTTTCCAATATGTTGTTTCTTTGATTTCCTTTTTTTCCTATCGTAAAGCATAATAAATCAAAAGCACGTGTAGGAAAATGTATGTAGACACACCTACCATATGTACCATGTACCTCGTTTTTATAGTTTGTTATTGGTATGTTTTTCAAATGAATTTCAAAAACTTTCTCATAAAATTTGACAAAATAAAACTTCACCTCACACTAAAGAGAAGAAAATACGTATAATATACTGATAATTTACTATACATTTTCATTGTATATTTATAATTAGGGCATATAAAGTATTTGGTATGCTATTAATAAATTTCTTCATGATAAATAAGAAGCAAAAAGTAAAATTTTGAACGACTTCAAATGCAATCCGATAATATTAAAGATGTTAAATAAATTCTTGATCCACATGCAGACTATAGTCCTATCCTCTTGGTAAAAGCTATTGCCTCCATGGATAATCATACTTGGAGTATGGAGATCATTTGAATTTCACGTGAATGTAATATAGTGACAAATCGCTCAACGAAGATGCTAACTCCTAATTACTATCAAGTTTCTCTGTTTGATTCTTCACCATCAGATGTTTTTTCACTTGTTTCAAGAGATAAATCAGATCCTTCTTATTATATATCAGTTAGTTATTAATCCTACCGTTAATGATTCAAAAAGAACATTCTAGTTTACAATTCATTACCATCGTGGTAACAGGACCCCATGCCATCTTACGGGTAATATTTACCGTTTGAAAAACCGATTGTTGGCTCTAATCACAAGCCACGTGTCAATATTACTGCTCTTGAATCCGCATGAAACAAAACACCGAAACAGCTCCACAGTTTTACAGTCGGCACCCAGCATTCCGGTCATTAAATAAGTAAAAAATAAAAAAGAATTGTAATAAAAGACAGAGAAAACGAAATAGCATCGAGTTCGAGGTTGCCTGCCACGTTGATCCAGCTGTAAAATCGATTTTTAAAAAGGTAAAATTGTAAATTTACCAGCTGTATAACGGCTTTCTGTAAATGACGAGAATGCCTATGGAAGGTTAAAAATGTTTTAAAGAAGGGGGTGTAACTGTAGAATAGATTATTTAGGGATAAGGATAGGTAATTAATGGGGGTGTTAAAATTTATTAATTAACAAATTGTTAATATTCTATTCAGTCAAAGCTTGGGACTGACCCGAGTGTCCGGTGTCACGTGACATAAAATCCCTGATTTCGAGAATTTATCTTTTTGCTGACTCAGCCTCCCCGGGTTCATCCTTCTCCTTGGATCTTCCCGCTTACCGGGGACCACTCATACGTGTCAATATCTCAGACTATCAAATTATGCGGCGCCTCGTGAAATATCTCTCCGGTGCCGGGATTTCAAATCGCCGATAGCTTTTTAGTAAAAACTAAAAACTGAAACTTTTTCTTTTATTATTCTTTTTTACGGCTGGCTTGGGATCCTATAAAATACCTCAACTTTCGGTATTCACTTCAGAACTTTGCCTCATTTTCTTCTCTCTTTACTATCTCCTTATCTTTCAAAAGCGCTCTTGTCCTCTCCGTCTCCTTTCATTCTTATTTTCCTAAGTTCCTTTCTAAGAGATTTTCCCCGAGAAATATCTGTGAGTAATCTTGTTTAAGTTCTTACTCTGTTAATTGACGGAGAAAAGCTCTGTCCGGTGGTTTTTTGGGACATTCTCTACCCCTTTTCCCTTGAAGATATTTGCTTTGCGGTGCCTTTCTCTTTCTCTTGTGTTCTTCTGCAACTTTTAACAACAAAAATTTCTTTTCCTTTTCCTTTTTCTCCCCTCTCCTTTTATCTTACCACTTTACTTGAAATTTATCTTCCTTTGATCAACTTTTGAGAATACCTTTGAACCGCTTAATGCTGGATTTCTCTCCATATCAAGCTTCTCTTTAACGTGTTCTTTCTTTCAGCTTTTTAACTTTTCAACCCTTTATTCTCCTCGTGTCTTGTTCTAAAGGAATCTCTTCTTTTTATTTTACTCCCTACTATTACTCTCAGTGAGAAGTGAAAGAATCTGAAAACCTAGAGAACCCAAAACGAAGATTGTGAAAAAATGGATACTTGCCTTGTTCCTTCAATCAAATACACAGAGCACCGCAATCAAACCAAGCCCTTTTCACCATTGTTACATGCCAGACTCGAAAATCAGCCAGAAATGAAGCATCGAATCGTTCGGATTACTGTTACTGATGCTGACGCCACTGATTCCTCTAGCGATGATGAAGAAGAAGAAAGACCGAGAACCCGAGTTTGTTCCCGGAACAGAGTCAAGAAATTTGTTAACGAGATAACTATCAAGTCATCATCTCCCACTGAGAACGACGTCCTAGGCAGAAGTAAACCATCGTTATCGTTGTCCAGAGCTCCTCGAAAAAGGCCGGCGTCTGTTGCTGAGGGTAAAGGTAAAGCGCCTGCAAGAGTTCCGGCGGGAAAGAAGTTCAGAGGAGTGAGGCAACGACCATGGGGGAAATGGGCGGCTGAGATTAGAGACCCTCTAAGACGTGTACGGCTTTGGTTAGGCACCTACAACACTGCCGAAGAGGCAGCAATGGTTTATGACACCGCGGCTATCCAGCTGCGTGGACCAGACGCGCTCACCAACTTTTCGACTCCCCAACAGAACCGGTCGGTTCAAGATAAAGCCAGCCAAAAACCGTTATCCAACTCAGATTACATCTCGGAGGAAGAATCTCTTAAAACTGATCCCTGCTCTCCAACTTCCGTTCTTCGCTGCCACTCACTCTCAGTCGACGAAGTCGACTCGCAAAGCGTCAAAGAACGGCCCGTTGTCGAGAGCGATCCTCGAGATGTCGTCGACGACTGCTTATCGGGAGAAAACTTCCCAGATATCTCCGACTATTCCTCTTTGTTTCCCGGTGACATGTTTTGTTCGGTGCCCGATTTTTTCGACGATAATACGAGTTTACACGAAAGCTTTTTAAATGATGAGTTCGGGGACGGTGGTTTCGAGTTTGGATTTGGTGGCTTCCATCATGTTGATGACCATTTCCAAGATATCGAGGATTTGTTCGGGTCGGATCCTCTATTAGCTATTTAAGAGAGCGTTTCTTTGTTTTCCCTTGTGTAATGCCGGTTTCTCGGCAATTTTTACATCGGCCGAACTGAAAAATATTGACTTTTTTTTTCATTTTCCGTGTGCAAATTTTGTTTTGGTTATTATATTTTTCAATGAAAATCCCTCTAATAGCTTAAGATAAATAATGTAGTAAAAATAGTAAACAGCTCCGTCACAGTAATGGTGACGGCTACGTGTTCTTTGCTCTGTCTTGTATTAAAAATTGGGTACATCTTACTGCCTTTCCAAGTGCATGTAATTATTCAACTTCCCTGGTAAAAATGTTGGTCTGATAATTATGTAGTAAATCAAATTTAGGGTAAACAACTTGTATGACACGTGGTGGAACACGGTGGGCAAGGGGGATTTCAGTTATAGCCGTTTCAAGGAAAAACAGATTTTGTTAAGCCACTCCGGAGGTGAATGGAAGAAGAAATTAAAGGATTTTGGTAAGTGTGGATTTGTATTCATTGTTTCCACGTTTTACATACAACACAAAGATATCATATCATACCAGCTTCACCCACTAATCCCCAATCAATACTACATTGAACTTTATAGCTTTAAGACCGGGAATAGATTGATGGGAGTGCTACCTACAGTCACATTTTAAAAAAAATATTTTTTATAATTTAAATCTTTTTTCTACATATCATTAATAATATAATTTCGTAATTTTAGAATTTTGTAATTCTAAACTTAATGTCTGAGTCGGTTCTTGATACTATATATTTGTTAGAAAAATCAAAGAATCTCACATAAGGAGGTTCGAAGAGAAAAGGTCCGGCGGCTGACGAGTGTGGTGGCAGTCGGTGCATTTCAGCTTCCTGGGAACCTTTCTCCTAGTGCGTTGTCTGTTGGTGAAATGTAGCACATCAGGCAACACTTGTTCATAACGTGTTCTTGAAATAACACGTCAAAGCTTGAATTGTAAGATATTAGCGTCTGGTGAATGATAACATCCACTAGTTACAAGTGCAAGAATGTGACGAGTAAATTCCAAGTGATTGAACCCGTTTTCGATGGTCTGATGAAAAATAGTGAAATGTCAGCTGGAGAGCAGTACAAATGAAACAAGATTTTGAACATCATAACCCAGAAAAATAATTTGTCACCATGGCCTGAACCTGAATCCCATAAAACATTAGCTAATCGTTGTTAAAGAAGACCGGAAATTTCATTAAATAGAAATTGTCGTTATTCCAAAATAGAAACATCACACTGCCGCACACCTGACTGCGCCCAGACCCAACTTTCCTAACATGACAATACATTCTTAATTCCCCAAGTGCTTTTTTCCTTAATATAAAAAATGCCTATACACAATGTGCGTTAAAACTTAAGGTTTTTTCTTCTTCTAAATATAATATTTTTTTTAATTTTGTTTGAAAATTAAAAATTTTAAATTATATAAATGTGACATATGTTATTTAACGAAAAAAAAATTTAACGGTCGTTACAACCGATACACTTAAAATAATAACATTTGTAACATTTGACACATGAATTAACCGGGAAAAAGTTTAAGCTCATAAATGAAAAAAAGATGTATAGTTTAGATAATTTTTTATAATAAATATTTTTTCAATTTTTTAAATAATATCTATTTAAAATACTCTTAATCATTTGACAATGAATATTCAAACATCTCAATAGACTTCGTGTTCAAACCCAAAATATAAAACTAATGACAAAATTAAGATAAGGATTGAATTTGGAGGCATTAGATTTTAGCATGACGTTTGATAGAATTAACATAATTTTTATGGAAGGGAAATTTGAAGAAAAGGAAAAGGCAAGCTTGAGTGCCTCTTGGTGATTAGAGCAAATAAGAGGGCAAGGAAAGGCAGCCACACAACCAAAGGGTGCAGAGTCACGAAATTCCAAAACTTTTACACATTCGTTCATTACGCCTGAAAGAAAACCCCAGAAGATCTTATTCGTTATTCGGCAGGTCCTTCTTACGGCTATTCAATCATGGCCGTACACGTACTGTCAGCTTAACGGCCTCCCAATCTTCTCGTTTCAGTGTAAGTCGTGCAAGTAGTATCGGCCTAGGCAGCAGCAGCAGCTGCAGCCCCAACCTTGGTCCCCACCAAATTCATCCAGCTCAGCCATCACTGTTTTATTTTCTGTTCTGAGTGGTACGGCTGTGATATGGTCGTGGTCGCACGCTCCCCGGCGATATTCCCCATCTCATCCGCTCAATTTGGACCCTCCGTTTTGGATAAGTGTTCGTGGATCCACATAAGCATGCTAATCCGTCATTTATTGGCCCTCTTTATTACTATTATATAGCTGATTTTTTTATTATTATACGGGTGATTATAAAATAATATATGTTTAAAATATTTTTAAATATTTTTTAAAGTGGTCGTGTTTAAATTCAAAATTGTTAAAAATAACAACTATCCATTTAATTATTACGATCACTTAGTTTGTGTTATAAAGATAACCACTAATACGAATTATAAAATTAAAATTGAGTACAAAGGTGTGTATTGAGGATGTTTGGAGGGTGAGGGAGTCGCATGAAATATGTATGGGATATTTGTACGTTTAAATTAAAATGTCTTCTATTTTACCATATCCTCAATCCGTCTCTTCCTAGTTTGTAAAGATAGTGTGAATCAAAATGTTCCTCGAGGCCCATAAGCCATGCGCAAGTTGAAGAGAGGGCCATACATAATGGCACTAGTGTTGTGTTTGTGTGTGGAAAAGCAGGCACGCAGGTAGGGCCGTCGGGGCGGAGCAAAGGGGATGTCTATTTCACCTACCGACAACACTGAGATTCTACAGAATACGATCACGGATACGGGGAAAACCAAAATATCTTCAAGTCAGTGCTACATTTCAAACACCCTATAAAAGGTATGATTTGAGTTGAAGATACTTAATAGAATGGTCACAATTATGAAGTGAATTTGTAGTTACAAGCACCCATGCTCTGCACTTGGTTTGCATTTCCACGACTAATCTGTACCCTAAACATAATGGCTGTCTCAATTTTCTGGCACCTGCTGTGGCCACTTAAATTTTAAATTACAACACAACAATCAATTCTTTCTCCTTTTTGCTTTTGGGTATTATATAGTTTTTTTTTGTTTGATTTCTTAAATTTTACGTAAGGTTAGTTCTTTTGTTTTTTACGGTCGGATCTTTTATTTGTTTTCATTCTATTTTTTTATATTTTTTAAACTAAATTCTTTAATATGTGCAAACGTGTTGAATTTATATACTCTGGAAAACCTTAGTTTAGGAAAATCTATTAGTTTAGGAAAATCTAAGTCTATGTTTGTAATTTTTTAATATTGTGAAAAACGAATTTTAAGATGCTGCATTTTTAAGGAAAACTTTGTAAAAATCCGATCCATGCAATAGAGGCCCATTTTTCTTAGGTTGCAATACCCATGATTTGGTTGCACAAAACATTGTGGATCGGTTCTATGGAAAACACAAGCATGGGCTCGTCATTTTGGATAAGGTAAAATGCACCTCAAGTCACTCAATTTTTAGTTATACTATAAATGGGTCACTATCTTTCTTTCATTCCAAAAGTTAAAATTTGACCACTAAATTAAAATATTTTTACAAATAGATCACTAACTATTAACCACTAAATTTAAATATTATTACTGTCACACCCTAATAATTAGAGCTCAAATTAAATTGTTTTAATTTTCATTCGAGGGATCAAATTGTAAAATTTTGTCTAATCTTGAGTTGCTTGTAGGCCTCTGAACAGTTTAAGGACTTATAGCCTGATTTTTCCATCATTATTTGGCTAAAAAGAAATGAATGAATGAAACAAGGCTGTAGGGTTTTGAACCCACGTGCTACAACATGGGTAACCGTGCCTCTACCATTAAAATAGATAACTATTTGGTATTAAAATATTCAAAATACCTTTTAAGTTTTTAGATCAGTTTTTTATGGCCAAAACCCATTCTTTTTCCATTAGAAAAATCACCCTAATGTTTTAACCTTTGCAAAATCGTCCCCCAAATATGTTCTTCACCGACGAGTCCCAATGCCGTCCAGTTGCCTCCGGCCAGCGATGGAATACAACACCACCTCCAACTGCATGGCCACCGTCTCGTGACCCTGTCACCGACCATTAAACACCAAGATCAATCATCGTTCGTCGCAAAATAGGGAAGAGACGCTCGAAGGATCATTGATCTCGGCCGAGACTCACCGGTGACCGTCACTGCCCTTACCCGTGGAAGCGTCTCCCTCCTTTGTCATAACCCAATGACCCACTCACCGAGCCTCATCGTCGTTCGTCGTGGAGATCTCATTGAAGGTTCAACGGAAAACCAAAGCTCTCATTTGATTTTTGACGATTTTCGGCCACACCGAATTTTCACTCGCCTCACCGCCTATGTTGTCGAACTCCTCGTGTTGTTATGAGAAAAACCCAACCAATGGGTCATTCCACCGTTGTCGGTTTCTTCGTATGTCATAGGGTAATGTATTTGGAGTGATTGGATCGTCGAAATTGACCCAATCGTCGCCGTCACGTGCACGTGGGGCTCATCTCTTGTCTTGGAATCTCATAGAATCGATTTGAGTCAACTCAAACTGGCATAAGTCAACCCGAATCGGTCTGACCCGTTGACTTTGACAGTCAACCCGAATCGGTCTAACCCGTTGACTTTGACCTGGCCATTGACCGTTGACTTTGACAAAAAAGTCATAATTTTCGAAAAGTCATATTATATGTTTTTCAATGTCGTGAGTCCGAATTCGAAGTTCGTTTTTCCAAATTCAAACTCGATAAGTTGTTTTTCGATATTTTATCTCCTGATTCAATATGAATTTTCATGTTTAAGTTTCGTTTCTAATGTAATTGGTTTTTACATGTATCCGAGACATTATGGGACGTGGAAATAAAGTTCGAGGGTGATCAAATTGAGTTTAATTGGTTAACTGATGTGGCTCGTAAATTGAGGTAATACTCTACTACCTTTTGTATGCTTTTCAAAACTCATTGATAATTGGTAAAAAGATGAATGCAAATTATTGGTCAATTAGGTGTATTTAATTATCATTTGAC